AGGCAAAGACAGTAATAATTACATAATCTATAAAATCTGTGACTTTTTGGCACTTTTGTGAACATTTTGTAAAAACCTAAACAAAGACTAAGACTCTCTAAAAACTTTTTTACTTCCAAACTCGACATACAATGAACTCTAATTTTGTGAACAAAAAAAACTATTTTATTTGCGAAGTCTTTGTCCATATAATAAATAATACATTTTGTGTCATATAATATGTGTTATTGTGAAAAGAGTTAATGAATGGATTTGGATTCCATCCAAACGTAATCATCCATTCAATGGTATTGTATTTCAGTTTGTTTTTTGTTTATTGTTATCTAATTATATGGACATCGAGTGGAGTACAGAAAACTAACTGCTTTTAAGAGATATCTATTATTTCTTATTTTAAAATCAATTTCTTTTTTTAATGTCATTTCTACAAGAATTTCTGTCAAAATCTCTAGAAAAATGTCGTTTAAGTGAAGAATATTTATAGAGAAATATATCGAAACTTTAATAATGAAAATATCAATTCAATGACAATCTCTACGATATAAACCTAAACACTTGAATGCCTTTCCTATTGATAAAAAGTGCTCTCAATTCTATAGTTTCTATTAAACTCTCTTTTTATATTAGATTTTTTGTTGTGAATAAGTTTCACATAAACTCTTCAAAAGTGTTTTCAAAGTAGACGTTGAAAATAAATGTGAAAAACATTCAAAAAATAAAATTATATTTAAAAAACTACAAAAAGATAACTATTTTTTGGTTATATCTATAACATAATTCTCTATTTTAAATTTTTTTAGTTTATATTTATTTTANTTAGTCCATTGGACCGACAATTGTATGACTTTTATAAATAACTTCCTTTAGTAGCGCTCAAACATAATAGTATTAACGATACGATAATATTGCCGTTTATTGCATCCAATTATAGACTAAATGTCTCTAATTATAAGTTTAATTAAAAGTATTGATCGATATTATGGCCGACAATACAACTAATCTGGCGATGATATCAGCGCTCACCACAACTGCCAATATATTGATGTAATTCTGAAATATTTCGCTATTATTTTTTATACGGCATTAAAATTGCAATTTATAGCATAAGTTATTACCCTTTGAGCACTTGTATCTTGAGGTCAATTTAGTTTTTTTCGTGAGCAATAAATTTTAATGTCCGGCACCTGTGGTCACCCCATATATAACATATATTAAACTTAAATGTGTCTCAAATTGGCTGCAATTAATGGGACGACGAGTTGTAAAACGCAGGACCAGTTAAATGGGCTTTTTATGATGCCTTCAACGCTAATGCAAACAGATATCAAAATTAAAATAATTATTCAATTTAGTCGAGTGTTTGGCTGAGGAATGGCATCTCATTTGAGAATATAATTTAGTTTAATTTGAGTGAAAATAGATTTACTCTTTTATTACATCATTTGGACTAATATTAAACAATGTTTTCCCATAGATATACTCTATTAAGGGTTTAAATTGCAACTCATTTAGAAATTGTATTTTAAAATGTCAATAAAATACTAATTAATTTTCTAAACAAAATGCGATAATTTTATACACTTTTATCACAAGTTTGCTCTTTTCAAGTCCTCAGGAAGTATATAATGGATGTGTTTTTTGTGATATCAATGAAAAAATAAAGTAACTTTTGAAAAATTGTTTTTCAATCCTTTAAAATGAAAACAACAATCTATTCATTTCACAACAATTTTGAAGTCATTTAGAAGTCTATTAATCATAATATTGTATTCATAGCCCACTGTTTAAGTGATTTATTAAAATACAATTTATGTTTGTTATTGGGAGTGAGAAAGAAACGAGGTCAAATCATTTGGGGGTAGATTTAAATCACTTGAAAATTGCGGATTGTTTTAAGCAAATATTATTTACATGCAATTTATGGTGAGTTTAGTATACATTAAATCTGAAATATAAGCAAATGTTTATCGTAATCCTTGCTTAACAATTTGTATTCAGTGTTATATACACTATATTTTTAACGTATATAAATCACACTTAAATTAGTAAATGATGAGCGAAGTAAACACATTTATTTTATTATATTTTAGTGACATTTACATGAATTTTATCACTCAATTACACACGTTTTATACACACTGTATATACCAGTAGTGATAACACAAGAATTTCAATGAGAAAACAATCCGTTCATTGACTTTGAGTTTTAATGTAAAGTAAAAAAAAGTCGTAAAAGTTTTTTAGAAATCTTTATATACTTTATTTTTTTGTGTATCAAATAAAGTTTCCTTTACTTAATCTATAAATTTTTCCCAACAAATTGCACAAACATTATGAGTGTATATAAAACAGAAGTTCAGTATATTATAACCAGTAGTTCACTAAATAATCGTTTATTCAATAAAACTTTTAAACATTTTCCAGAGTTTCTAAAGTCTGTTGTTTTATATCTTCTTTGCGAAAGAGTTTGAAAAACAAAAAAATAACACATGTTTTAAAAATACTGTTTCTTCATTCAAGTCAATAGTAGTGGCAATAACTTGAAGCCTAAGGAATGGATTGAATCTGATATCAAAATGAGTTAATTCACTCATTTTTGGTTAACACATAAGCCTTTAGTTATAGCTATGCATTAATTTTGATGCATTTTTATATATCATGTAATTCTGATTCTCTATAATTAAACAATTTTAAATTAGTTTTATTAATCTCATTAAATTTATAGCTAGTATGATCAGGGTATTTATATATTTTATTTCCTTTTTACGATTCTTATCAAATATACAATATATTTAATGTTTTCAATCATATCTAAAGTATTTTTAAATTATAAACAAGAATAAAACTACAAATTTTTATGTAAATTATTTGTATATAAATCTGTAATTTATTTTAAAGCATTAAAACTTTATTTATTAGTCTCTCCTCTGTGTTAAGCACTGCTTTGAGTTTTATTAACTTCTGTAATAGAGATAAGAATCGGATTTAATTACATTAAAGAGAGGGTTGAGTCAATCAGATAATAAATTTCAATACATAAATATAGCGTAATTTTAATATAAATTAAAACTTATTGATATTGACTGACGTATAATCAATTGATTACACGTTTATTTACCTTTATTTCATGAGCAATGAATTTTAATTAAGAATTTAATTGTTTTGTACTTTTTTGTTGCATTAAATCTCTCACTCGATGTATGCCTTATATAAGCGATAGAAGAGATGATTAATTAAAAATCAAAAACTAATTATTTGCTGCAAAAATTACTTAACAACCAATCAATTCGGGGTCCAAAATATTATCATATAATTAAAACAGTGAGCAGTAATTTGAGATTAAACATGCCTTTTCTCCGCGTAAACAAGTATAAAGTATACTTTTGTAGGCAAAGACAGTAATAATTACATAATCTATAAAATCTGTGACTTTTTGGCACTTTTGTGAACATTTTTTAAAAACCTAAACAAAGACTAAGACTCTCTAAAAACTTTTTTACTTCCAAACTCGACATACAATGAACTCTAATTTTGTGAACAAAAAACTATTTTATTTGCGAAGTCTTTGTCCATATAATAAATAATACATTTTGTGTCATATAATATGTGTTATTGTGAAAAGAGTTAATGAATGGATTTGGATTCCATCCAAACGTAATCATCCATTCAATGGTATTGTATTTCAGTTTGTTTTTTGTTTATTGTTATCTAATTATATGGACATCGAGTGGAGTACAGAAAACTAACTGCTTTTAAGAGATATCTATTATTTCTTATTTTAAAATCAATTTCTTTTTTAATGTCATTTCTACAAGAATTTCTGTCAAAATCTCTAGAAAAATGTCGTTTAAGTGAAGAATATTTATAGAGAAATATATCGAAACTTTAATAATGAAAATATCAATTCAATGACAATCTCTACGATATAAACCTAAACACTTGAATGCCTTTCCTATTGATAAAAAGTGCTCTCAATTCTATAGTTTCTATTAAACTCTCTTTTTATATTAGATTTTTTGTTGTGAATAAGTTTCACATAAACTCTTCAAAAGTGTTTTCAAAGTAGACGTTGAAAATAAATGTGAAAAACATTCAAAAAATAAAATTATATTTAAAAAACTACAAAAAGATAACTATTTTTTGGTTATATCTATAACATAATTCTCTATTTTAAATTTTTTAGTTTATATTTATTTTATTTTTTTATAATGAATATAATTGAATAAATAAATTATTTTATTAAATAAATGGATTTTAAAACTTTTAGTTTAGTTAAGAATTTTTGTAAAACTGAAAATGTGGGCCAAAAAATGATAAGTAGATGTTTAGACGTCTGACAAAATTAATAGCTGTTTGTTGTATAAAAAGAAAAACAATTTTTTGATCTAATTTTCTGATAATAAATTTGCTGAGAAGTAGTGAATAATTCTGACCGCTCTCTACCACCAAAAGAAATGTGGATTCAAAATGCATTACACAATGAATTCAAAACTATATCTCACTTTTCGGAGACAGAAATGTGAAAAATTGTAAAAATAAAAGCAGTTATTTCACCAGAATTTTAAAACAGACTAAAACCGCTATTAATATAAAATTAATTACATTTACAAATTCAAACATATAGTAAAATGATACATACATTATACTGTACATAATATATTTCAATAAAACTCTTATTTTTATGTAATTCCTCTAAAAATTGATTTATTTTAAATTCTGTATTTTAAATCTAATCAAATATTTGCTAAAAACTCTACTCTTATATAAATATTGTATAACATTATAGTTTGTTACACATTATAACCGCCAACGCGTTAATAATGATAATAATATTGTAGATCTTATTCTCACTGAAAGACTTCACATAATAAGTCGAGATTGCAATCAATTTTGTGTGTTTTTGTTAGTGTTAGAGAAGTTACCATTTTATTAATAATATATTTGGAAACGTTGCCAAACAATATATACTGTATGTCTTCTCTGCCGTAATCTTGTTTTAAATGATAGGTTTTGCACAAAAATATATTCTCAAATATCAATACAACGACAACAGTATTTGCCTTACTTTATAAGAAATTACATATTGACTGAATTACACACTCAAACCCTCGTTGAAAATACTCTCTTGTTATATGAAATATTAATTTCTTTTGAATATAAGTATATATAAAAAACATACGGAAAATTATAATCTTCTGTGGATTACTTTTTCGAGTACTTAATAAGTTTTAGAGTGTTTTCCGCTATTTTTCTCACTAAATCTCTTTTATTTTTAATACAGAGATTAAATTTGTTTCTTATAAATACATATAAAATCTACTAAAATATCCAATTTGTTGAGTAAAGCAATAATCAATTCTAGATAAGTATTCATAAAAAGTTGTTTTTGAATTTTTGATATAGAATTAATACCATGTTTAGAGGAAAATCCACTTTTATTTATTATCGGAAGTTTAAAACTCTGATTCCACGAGAGACTCGTCAATACAAGAGCTGTTCCCTCTAATAACGTATGCAACTCTCGCTTATGTAATAATAATATTTCATAACTTTCTCTCTGATAACTCAATACAACATCGAAACTGATGTTTGATTTATTTTTTTCGCGTATTTATAGATTCAAAATAAGAGATAGATTTATATGTTATATGAGATATGAATGTATATTTGATTTGAAACGAATCCAAAACAAGGAATCAAATATTATAATAAGATAGATATCACACACACTATAAGCTAATTTGCATACACTTTTGATTTGATCCGATAGTATGGTTGGGTTCCCTATCACTGGGTTTGTCGTATTTGATATCACCAGTGATTGTCTCGTGGTGTCGACGGAAGAGCGCTCGACTCACAGCCATAGCTGGAGGTCTGATGGCATCGTTGGGCTGTCTTTTCGCATCGTTTGGCTCTCAATTTCATCAGGTTTTCCTTAGTTACGGAATATTCCTCTCCATTGGCATTGGTATCGCTAGAGAATCGGCGAATCTAATGGTCGGACAGTATTTCAAGCGAAAACGCTATTTCGTTGAGATCTTTATTCAAAGCTCTTTAGGCATAGGAATAGCTGTTATGTCTCCGTTTCTGAGTTGGAGTATTGGGTAAACTATAATGCATTTTAAATATTAATGATTAACATTTACAGTACATTACTCTACTTAATATTATATGAATATTTAATAAATGCCCAGGGACATTAAATATTTGCTTCCATTGTTTTATGCTAATTATTTTTTTTCAATTAAATTTGCAGAATGTTTAAGCATTGGAGGGCTGGCCTACAATTAATAACCTGCACACTGTTTGCCACATTCTTGATCGCAGTGCTGTACAGACCGGCCTCTCTATATCACCCCCAAAGACGGGCTATTCTTCATCTCAAAACACAGAGAAGAAAGATTAGGGAAAAGAATCCCATCAATAATAAGCCACCCTTTTTCGACTTAACGCCACTTAAAGCCAAATCATTGCAACTCATTATTGTCTCCACATTTCTCTTTTCTTTTGGATATTTGTCTCCACTTTTCTATTGGGTATATATTTAGCAATATTTGAGTTGAAATTATATTTCATAATATTATTTATCTGTTGAACAATAGGTGCATATAATAGACCAAAACAGTAGAGGCACTATAGAGGAGATGCAATCCGTTATATCTCCCGGCGTTATCTTTCGATACATATATTTTGGCATTTCGTTGACAATTGGTGTCATTATATTTGGATATTTAACAGTCAATCGACGATTTAAAAACCGAATAAACAAACAATATTTGTGTCAAATCTCAATGCTTTTAACGGTATTAGTGCTCATCTCTAATGTCTATTTCAATGAGAGCGCAATATTAGACTTCGTATCGATATTTATATATGGAGTAGCGATCGGAGCATTCAATTACAGCCATAAAATGCTTGTCTACAGTCTTATTAGAGCCAAGAATTTTGGGAAAGCCTGGTCTTACGTTCAGTTCACTCAAAGTTTTGCCATCTTTTTGGGCATTCCGTTATCAGGTATTTATTTCATTCATAATTATTATACCGTATTATGGGTTAAATTTCATTTAATCATTTTCCTTATTTACGATTATATAATGCAAAATCATATCTCATTGAAATGTATTGAATATTAGATTTCATTGACTCCGGAATCTAAGAATAGAGAATTCAAATATTATTCTTATTCGTGTTTCAATGTATTAACTAATGATTTATTCTGTTGTCAACTATTTTTTCTTCTTTTACTCCTTATTTCTCTCGTGAGTTGTGATACAGTTTTACTATAAGTCTAGGAATTATTGTTTTTATTGCATAATATTTATGGTATTCATCGTCTGATGCGATGGCACTGACGCTCATTCAGTGCTGACGTCCTTTCATTTTTCTAAATGTATTAATTTTATGAAATTGTCTTTCATTTCCTTAAATAATAGCGAACTGATTGTGAGGTGTCTTCTAATACTAATCACTCGGAAATTGCCTTTTTTAGGTCACATAAACATTTGGTTTCACGAAAGCGCACCCTATTATGGGTTTGTCTTCTCGGCGGTTATGTGTCTGTCGGGCACTGTATTGCTCTTAGCATTGAATCCAGAATTCAAGAATATATCCCAGAATTTAAGCGATAAACTCCATGACTTACATCACCACTCATGCAATGCCTCATCAGATATTCAGCATTTAAATCCTATGACACCTCCCAATGCAGGTATGAGTGTCTGTATGTCTGTATAATACAATGCTTTTGAGTATAAATTATATTTTAAAAACTGATTTGTCGTTTGCATCCAAATATAAGGAAATAAAACTATTAAATAGGGGAACAATGAATTATTTCCGATAAAACGCTTAATATCTTTTGAGTAAATGATAGAAAATAGAGGACATTATTGCGATAAAATACAACACAAGAATTTTTGTTAGTTTTTCGCTTCTTGTCATCAATTATTCTCATTCTCCAGATTCTGGGATTCAGTCACACAATGATGTAAACCATTGTTGCAATTGTGGTCAACGGTTGCTTTCAAACGACGATAACGAGCCCTTCAAAGAATACCAAAGTATTAAAGCGGAAGACATCAGATCTCCGATTCCAAGAGCAGATCCGGCGGTCAATGAATCCGACGACGACGAAGAAGACGAAGAGTTTGTTAACCTAAAGCTCCAGAATCCAGAGTTGGCCACATATTTTAGCGACGATTTATATAATTATTACTTACATAACGACGTGGAGGAAGGGATGGCATTGTTTGATCCAAACAAAGATAAAATCATAGGCAGCGAAATGGATTGTTTGCATTCAAGAAAGCATTTATTAGTTTGTGATACTATTGACGATAAGACGTGTAAACCTCAGAAAAGGACTATAGAGACGGTCACTGAAGAAACTTCGAGTATTAATTAAGATATTATAACAAATAAAAGATCAATATTTTTGATTATTTCGTCGAAATAAGTAAATATTGTTTTCTAATCAAACTTAAAACCCATTAATTTATTGCTTTGTCTGTTATGTATTATCTGTGATATAAAAAATCAATAAAATACATGAAAATGAATATTTAATCCGCTGTTTAATAAACATGTGATTGTCTGAACAAAATGGATAAAAATGAAAAATTATGAAAAATTATTTGGAGAGAGAGAGAGAGAGAGAGAGAGAGACTTTTACAGCATATATAGAACTCAGATTTTTCCTTCAATACACGACTCAATATAAAGATGTGTTTTAGTGAAGATATTTCGATAATTTTTCTATAATTCTGGTATTATTTGCTTTACATTTATTTGATTTGTTGAATGGGATTCTGTTGAAAAATTATTTGGAGAGAGAGAGAGAGAGAGAGAGAGAGAGAGAGAGAGAGAGAGAGAGAGAGCGGTTTGAAATGATAAATATTCCTTTCAGTACTTCAAAAAAGTAGAACAAAACTCTTATTTAATCAAATTGTTGTCAAAACACAAAATGTGAGAAAAAAGTTATCAATCAATGTATGATTGAAACAAATATTTTTATTTTCTAATACATTGGAAGATCTATTGCTTTTTCAGCATTTAATTTCCGGAATAGTATCACAAAAACAATTATATATAAAACAAATATGTTTTTATGTTTATTGTATTTGAAATACAAATTCTAATTATAGAAGTGATTATTGCACTCATTTGTTGAATAATTTCTAACCACAATTCAGCATTGAATAATGTAGTTTATAGGATCGTTCGTCCTCCACCCTATGGGACTTAACATGGGATCCCTTTAACATGGGGAAACTCTCATAGAATTAACATGGGGACGATTTAACATGGGTTTCTATCGGATTACGGCTTAAGTCTATGACATAGGGTTAACATGGGCAGTGCTAAGTCAATGGCAATGTTAAGTCTATGGACTAATGATAAATATGTAGATAGTGCTAATCTATTCTTTGAGTAATACCCGAATTGTAGTTAACGTATACCATCCTTGTGTGTGAGTTGTTTATAATAAAAACACAATCAAAGAAATTTGCTACTAACGTATTGGTTTTAAAAAAACTTATTAACAATTTTAAGTAAATTGATATTATTTATAATATTCCCAATTTGTATTAGTTGTCATATTTAATTTTTACAAACTTCATTTACTGAATTCATTAAATATTTTGTTTTAATGTGTTATAATTTATAACTTATAAATAAATTAGATTTACAAATAGACACTAGTATTTAATCTTATAAAAATATTTTGCAAACTATGAAAACTTAGAAATATTGAAAATAAATTATTATCAATAAAATATTATGTTTTATTACTGAATTACATTATATTATATACCAAATTCATGTTTAAGCCATAAATGTATTGACTATTCATATTGACTCGAGTTATTATGTAAAGTGCTTTTTGTATTTTTTAAATACATATTTCAATCAAAACATATTTTCCCAAAAATTAATTTCCTAGAAAAATATTTTTACAAAATTTGGATTCAATTATTTTCACGCGTTTTACGTCATATTCGCAGCCAATAGTACAGAATCTGTATAAATAAAAATACTTTACAACAAAACCATGTATTGATACAAATATCGAAATTCGCATACATTTTGCTAATGAATATTTCAAGTTTTGTTTAACGTTAACCAATGAATCCTATTTCTCGTTAAGTCTCTGTTTTCGCATATTATTTGTCGTCCAGTGCTTTAATCATACCATAAAATATCATCAATAGTTGAGTTCAGTAAACGATAATAAATCAGTTGTTGTTTCACTGGTTGTTGTTATGAACACAGATTTAGAAATAAATGCGAGTATTTATTCCTCAGAATTATTCTTTATGGCCAGAAGTTAAGTATAAGAATCGTTACAAACAATACAAGTATATATTGCATGATATTTGTCTTATTGTTTCTTAACCTGGTATTGATAATTGTATAGCGAGTATAAGACTGTATGCCAACGATCTATACCTTTACTTCACTGAATATCCCCTTATTTTCACAATTCATTTATCATTTGATACGAAAAACCAAAAGACATAAATCACAAAACGAGAGCTAATTTAATGGCATTTTATTAACTCAACCAAAAAAACTTCTTCATTCAAAATTTGTTCCCATTATTCCTCGTATTGTGGATAATATATAATAAGTTTATTGTTATAACAATATATAAGTCATTTCTTGACTTTAATTGAATTGCTTGTAATTCTGTCGAAACTAACGAACATTTTAATCAATTTGAGAGTTCAATCGGTTTTCTCTCCCATTTTCTATGCTATTCATCTCATCGTCCAAACAATTAGAGGAAATCTTTGCTGAAAAATATACAGTCAGTAGATATCATACATAAAGTGAAATGAAGAAATCCAACAATAGGCTACACAAATGTCAACCATTTAAAGGCAGATGTGTTTGAATGTAATGTTCATTTGCTAACTCTCTATCCCTTCTGTCCTCTCATCAGTCCTTTTATACAGAATCCCATTCAACAAATCAAATAAATGTAAAGCAAATAATACCAGAATTATAGAAAAATTATCGAAATATCTTCACTAAAACACATCTTTATATTGAGTCGTGTATTGAAGGAAAAATCTGAGT